ATCAATGTAGTCACATCAACAGCAAATGCAAAATCTGCCATCCAGTCCTCATCTGAGAGCTCTGGGATGTCTTCACCTTTCTTCTCACAAAACTCTCGAATCTCTGCTTTCAGGTCCCAAACTCTTTTTAGCATTTTGCCCAGGCTGAGCCATCCGACAGCTGTGTGGTAGCCCATGTCACTGTGTTCAGTCTCATGCAAACAAAGTGCAACAAACTGCCTGTGAACAATATGTCACTAAAATCCTTAAACAGGCTGGACTTGTTCAGTTCAAGCACTGTCTGTCAGCACACTTTGAACAGCAGAGTGAAGCAGCACATCGCACGCTGGAATGTGTCCATCACAAAGAGTCTCCAGCTAAAAACAGAAGCACTGTTGAGGGCTCAGAGCTCAGCAAAAAGTGCTGAGCTCAAAGAAGACATCGTGACCCTGAACGGCGTTCTTGACTTCATCAACCGTGAGCCCAAGGCCAACCTGTTCAGCGCCATCGAAGATAAGAAGGAAATTTTTTCTCTGAGGATGAAGCTCGGCAAGGCTGAAGAAAAGCTGAAACAGACCGAAGACAGCCTCAAAGCTGAAGCAAAAATCAGACCTGAAACACCAAGTGCACCACCACGGAACTGTACAGTGCAAGATGAGCCTGGAGATCAGCTCCTGGAAGCACGACCTGGACAACCTGACTGAGCAGCTGCGTTTGGAGCAAGCCAGAAACAAGGTGCTGGCTGCCAAACTGCAGGACGCCCAGAAGCCTCAAGACCAAGAGGTGGAGACAGAAACCAGAAGCTGTGAGATCCGGAATGCAGCTACAGAACCTGCAGCAAGTCTGGGGAGTCTCGAACTCAAACCAGCTGCTGCAGAAGATCCAGAAGCTTCACAAGAGCCAGATGCTTCAGAAGTTTCAGAGTCTCCAGAGGAGAGAGCAAAAAAGAAGAATAAGAAGTTTAAGTAATGTATAATATGGTGTCAACAACTGTGTTTATTATTAATACCTACTAAATTTCGGATCACTTTAATGTTGCACAAAAACTCTAGTTCACTTTAAACATGCTCTTGTACATATTTACAGCTGAGCACAGTAGTTAGACACTCATTTCTTTTTGTAACCTGTTGCTCTTGTTTAAATGTGTTTTGTTTTGTTTAAGTTCTTCAAAAGCAAAGAAATCACTGCAGTCGAATTCCTTGTATGTTCACATACTTGGCAAATAAAGCTGATTCTGAAAAGACTTCCAAGAAAGGTTCCAGCATCGGATTTTGTAGAGAGCTTCGAGCAAAACGTTTAAAATGTATTTTGTAGGATCATGTTTATGTATTTTCATACAATTTGCTGTTATTAGACTTATTTATTGCTATTATTAATGACTCTTGCATGTTATTGTTCAATGCTTGACTGCTATTATGATGATTATTATTGTTAATTTTTATGTTTCTTTTTGGAGTAAAGCTCTTTGAGTTGCACTTGATGTATGAACTTTGCTCACAGACTGTGTAAAAGGTATTTATAATATATAAATACAATATACAGTCTATGGTTGTGCTACACATATAACGTTTTTGAACAAGTACACAGTGCTACTAAATCTTAAAATTCAATTTGAATGTTTTATAAATGCACAAACAACACACGTGTATAAAGTTTCCATATCCTCACCTCTTCGGGACGTCCAACATTCGCATCCATTCGTCTCGTTTGAGGTTTTGTTTTGTTTTTCCGTATCGAATAAGATCCTGAAATATCGCGTGAACTCGACATGTTTCGTATTTTCTCGGAGACACTTTGTGTGCACAAAAAGCCACAAAGAAACACGAAGCCAGAAAACACCACAAAATATTGATGACACTCAAATCGAAGGAGCTCCACATCATTTCTGAGACATTGTTTTGTGCAACGCGCAAAAGAGACCGTCGGGAAACGTCTCGCAAAGGTTCCGGGTGAAACGCGGTAACAGGAAACGCCAGGTAACTGTTTTAATGGTAATAATGTGATAAATTTCCAGGTTTTCGTGTAAAATACTAAACACGGAACATTCACGAGAAGACATGAGTACTTTGCATTCAGAGTTAGTAAACGGTTTATGGAGATAGTACAGCAGGTGGCAGCATTTGAATCTTTCCTCCCAGAGTAGCAATTAAACAGCATGAAGGCACAGTAACGTGTTTACTCTTCAAACCAAGAGTGACTAATCAAAAAGTATTTGTTTTGTGGGAGGCCTCATTAAAAACAAAAAACAACAAACAACCAAATAATAAAACAGGTAAAACAAACAATCAAAACTTCTTTTCCCCACTGTTTTAACCAAGTTAAAATAAAACTTTATTGATCCCAAAGTAAGTACTCAAAAAAAAAAAAAAAAAAAAAAAAAAACACATCATGAGAATAAATGTAGTGCCTAGCTTATTTTTTTATTTAACACTTTATCTTTAATCTTTTATTTTTCTGGTCTTTTAATTTGAAGGTGAATGCTTTTATGCTGTTTTTCCGTTTTTAAAAATGGTAAGGCTTTGTATAAAGCAGTTTGTTTTTTATGTGAAATGTGCTACACAAATAAATTTGCCTTAATGGCTAATAAAATAATATAATAAAAATGTTATTTCCATGTTTGGCACAGAAATGTTTTTGAACTGACTTTAATCTGAATTTAATCATTAAAGGTAAATTAAGTAGTTGAATAAGTATTCAGATGTGTATCTAATAATTACTTTCATGTTTTTTTTTCTCATTTATTTGATTGATCAAATAAATGTCATATTGACATATTCAAACTATTTATTAATCTCAAATACATTTAATCTAATATTACAGACTACCGGTAAATGAAGTAAATGCCACTGCCTTTTTAGAGGAAGAAACTATCGTTTTTTTAAACTTATTTTTAAATAAGTCATTTGACCAACTGATTGATTGTTGAAAACACTACTTGTTGACCTTCTATCATTAAGCTTTCCATCTAGTCAGTTAGTTGACTAATCATTTAATCTCTAATTAACGTTCTAATCTTGCCTTTAAGCTTTGGCTTGAGTCACTATGTTTTATTACCACACTATAGTTAGTAAAGCACTGATTACACAGAATAAACCCAAAGGAACATTATATTACTTGATGACTCGGACTAATTAATTAACATAAAAGCAGAACTTTTATTGGGTACAAGTGGTCCTCTGGATTCAAAATCTGCATCAGTTTTGCACACCTGCTCTTGAGGACAGCGTTACTGATGATGTTGACCTGACTTTGAGTCCTCTATACTTCACTCAGTTCTTGCTGAGTTTTCTATTCACAGGTTCACAAGCCACCAGTGCGTGTCTCCTCTTCACAATGTGGCAATATGTCAAAGGAAAACTTGAGTGTGTTTGTATGAAAGAATTGGTGAAGGCCTTTGAGGCATTAGATTCCAGGATGCCTCTTAGAGGAGCGAGTATCCTGTCTGAGGAAGTGTGGACTGTTTCCTGCCTACCCTCCCTCCCCCGCCTCTCCGTTCTCAGCGTCCTCCTCTTTTTCCCTGTGCCAAGAGCCGGACCCTCATTAGGCCCCCAAAGATCACAGAAAAGCCTCCCCTTGTAATCAAGCTGTTGTTCCATTTGTGTTGGAATTCAGAAAAGTTTGTGAAGATGCAAATAGTTGCAAATCCACAGATCACACGCCCAAAATATCAGTTCAACATTTAATGTTACACAAATGAAGGAGTACAGAAACTCTTGACGCCCTCCCTGTTTGTTTCTTGCACTCCTGATGATATATCCAGGTTAGTGTGCATTATCTGGTATTAATGGAATTGAAGTCAGCACACCAAGTTTTGGTGTTTCTACTCAAAGAAACTGCAGAAAAGCAGAAATTGTTTTTGAATTGTCACATTGTGAGGTCAAATATCCTGTTGTTTGTCTGCAGAGCATTAAGCTTACATTCTGTAACTCTTGTCCAAAGGGCCTACGGATATATGTCTTAACTCAGGATTTCCTATTGCCATATGTTTTTAAACTCTGTTGATGCCTGCATGTTAACTTAAAATACACTTTTACTCAATACACTGTTGCATAAGGAAAATCACATCACTTCCAAAGCTCCCTGTTAAGCATGAAGACTGAGCCAGGAGACTTTTAGCACAAAGGCTGAAGCAGCTGTCCAGAGGTTAATAAATGCCTAAAGTGCACCAAACAACATGTTTCATATTTTTAGATCACTGTGGGTTACAATGAGTTGTCATTTTAGTCATATCGATCTTTTCATTTATCAAATATCAAACTTTAATTGTGCCTCATGTAATTTTTCTGAAAGATGTTGCTGCTCTGTGTACATTAGCATGATTGTCATTTAATTATTTTTTTTAAAAAAACATATCCTCTCCTTTGTTTTTGTCCAGTTTCTGTTTGCTCTGTAATATACTTTCCATTTTCCATAGAAAAGCAGTCAATTTTCCAGTCAGTCAACCCAACTAATAATACAACTCCTGGTAAAACAGATTTTAAGATAAGATAGACAAAACTTTAATAATTTGAAATATTGCATCTGAAAAATAAAATGTTGCACATTACTTTGACATGTTACACATGAAAGTGAAACATTGCACATGGAATAAATTATTGCACATCATGCTAAAACTGACACTGCACAAACTATTCGTAAAGTAAGATTAACATTTTAAGACTTAATTAATAAATCAGTTAGTAATTTACTGTCTCTTGTGTTGTTTCATTGGACCTGTTCTATGTCTTAAACTTACTTTTGGCTTAGAATTTAGAAACTGAGCTCTACTGAGGCCATCTTGAAATGTAGTTTTTGTGTTAGACTGTTGTGGCACTATGTTTTTCATATTTTGTTTGCTGTTGAGGAAAAACGAGACACTTGGTACATTTTTATTCATCAAAACAGGGAGAAAGGTAATGATGGTCCAACATCAAGAAAGCGCAAGAGCTTATCTAAAGAGGCAAATATAATGTTCTTTTTTTCCATTGGCTCATTTCAAAGGGTTTGTTTGACATGTGGAATTTCTCTTGACTCTATCAGAAACTCACAGTCTGTTGGAAGCCCGTTCCTCATTAGGGCCTGAGGTCTTTATTTTTGAGCCTCACACACACATATTACTGAAGCAGCCTTAACCTGAATGAACATGTAAGTAACTGATTCTAAATAGACGATTAACAGGCACATATATAAATTAGAACCTCAGAGCTTACAACTCAGTTTATTTTTCTATCGTCAGTCACGACAATGTGAAATTAGCACACAACCCTTCCCCTCATTCTCTCTCTCTCTCTCTCTACTTTGTGGCCATTCTTTCTGTGTTCAATTGTGGGACATTGACCTTTGAAATCCCTCTTGTGATCTCAAACCCAAACAGTGCCAAAACAATTCACAGCTTTCGACTTTTCAATAGGAGTTGTTTGGAGATGTGATGTCAATGCAAACGCTGGTTTTTGAGGTTACCACTGTGCCGACCTTCCGTTTAGCAGCACACTTTTTGTTTTGTTCTTTCCTTATGGTTTGTGTGTGTTCTGTTTTCTGTCATTTGAAAAACAAGACAAATTATATGCTGCTGGAACAGTGTTGTGCACTTTTTTTCCGGTTAAGACCCAAATATACACATACTTTATGCATCAAATATTCTGTTCCACACAACCGCAAACATTTCCTCGCCCATTCTTTTCCCCTTAAATGCTTTAAAAAAATAATCTTTTCTGTTTGTGTTTCTGCGAGTGAGCCAGAGTTCAAAGCAATCCCCTGAAAGTGGAAAACAAAGGCAGCTAGAAAAATGGAAAAATGTTTCTGTTTCCAGCCTTTCCAGAGGGGCATTCGGTGTGGAGTGTCCTCCAGGAAGTGATGGATAGGAGGAGGGTAGGCGGTTTAGTGGGCAGAGAGTCCCAGTAGAAGTGACCAGGCCAGGAAACATGTGGATGTAGCACATAACATACAACCCCATCATCTCCATAAACCCTCCTGAATCGGTGCCAGCGTCAAAACACAAGCCTCCTCCCTGCTGAGAAGGTGAAACGCTGCATTCATCACATTGTAGGAAAATTTGAGTGATGAAAAATGCCATCATTAGACACATTCTGATGGAATTCAAGTGAGGCGTTACTTATATCGCTTTCTCTTATTCAAAGGCATTTTAATACTGATTTCATCTGTGGTTTGCTTTTTTTGGTGTTGCCCCAGATTATCATTTCAGTTTTCAAACTCTCTTTGGAATCTTTGGACAGCCACCTGAGCCAGTGATTTATTCTCCTTTTTCATCCTACAAGTTAAAATAATATTACATGACTTTGAAGGGTCTTTGTCAAACAGAGTTATTGTTCCGTATTAAATTTATGAACTTGTAAGCAAACAAATCCTTAAAAGAAAAGTTTGGTTTATGTCAAACGGGGTTATATGAGGTACTTTTCCATAGTCAGTGTATTTACGGCTGTAGATCCCAGTTGGTGTCCCTCCAGTTTGCGGAACCAGACAGCAGGACAAACATGGAAGCTACGCAATGAACTGCTGTGGATGGCGTTAGTAGCAACATGTATTATAGCATGTCTGTGAAGATTCTCAGTCATCTAGGTCATGGTTATTCTCGTAGTTTAATCGTAACAACTGGACTTGCTTCAGTTTCTTGAAGACGTTTCACCTCTCATCCAAGAGGCTTCATCAGTTCTGACTGACTAGTTGGGAGTTCCAGATACTTATATCCTTAAGGAGCCATTAACACTAATCTAAAGCAAAACATATTTTAGTTTGAGTGAAAGCTATATTTTAATCACTTTCCTTTGCCTTCAGACAGCCCTTTTCAGTGGGTGCCCTTCAAAGCTATCTGAAGCTGTAAGACTTGGAGTATACAGTGATTTTACTTTGTCTACCAGTGCCTCAATCGATTAGCTTGATAATGTGTAACTTTGGTT